TCCTTTAATTAAACAAAATGGGTACATGTAAACACATAAAATATAATTAATACCATCGAAAAAGATAAAAATCACTCAAATGCAGTAAAAACAGATTATTAAAACATAGTTTTATTGATTTTACTAATAAAGGAAATAATTTATGTTTAAATTATAACATAAAATTATATTTAATAAAAAAAACCTCATGATCCTCGCTACAAAGAATATGATTACTTTTTCAAAATCAATTGATAAAAGAAATGATCGTAGTTCACCAGATTCATTACCATACTCAACATAGAACGTGGTTCGTTTCCACTTATTTGATCTACTTGATTACAAGTAGTACAAATACGATTATTTGTACTACTTGTGCAGATTCCAAAGATACCTTAAGAAATTTTTTTTTGCAAACACAATGTTGAAAATAATACCTAAAAAATCAGATGGATTATTAAAATTTTTTTGATAAGGAATGTTTTTTTTTGTCGCTTTATTAATTTGTTTAGCCTTGCATCCTGAATTTTTACCATCAATTCTTTTTCTGTTTTGTTTTTAACAGCCACATAACGTAAATAGGTTTAAAATTATTACTTAAACTACTTAAAGATTGTTTGGCATTAAATTTGCTCAAAAGACAGTAGTAAGAGTATTAAGAAGTCGAATTTCTTCTTTTGGTTCTTTTAACTTTGTTTTAAAAAATTTTTTCTCGTCATATTCCATACCGGAGATGACAAAATAAAAATTAAGTTGAGCAAGAAGTACTTTTAACTTTTAAGATTCTTCTATATTACAAACTTTTCTAAAGCTTTTTCCAATGAAATCCATGCTTTTATATTTAAACTTGTTAAGTTTTTAAAAGTTTAATTTTTTTTTGGTATAGTTAAATTTTTTCTCTATTTTTTTCTTTATACTTTGCTTAAGACACATAGCTTTATCCTTTTTGAGAACTGCTTTTTTTTAACCAGATTTGTTTTATCATTGGTTTTTGAACAATCAAGTAATTCTTTTCTTACTTCATCAGTTTTACTATTTAGTCATTCTTATGTTTGATTCTGAGATCAAATTGTCGAAGCCTAGAAAGTTTGAATATTTGGATTTGGTTTTTAAAATTACAATGCCAACTTACTACTTTTGCAATGCTTCTTTAACTTTCAGATGTTATCAACTAGTTGAATTATCTTTATAGCTAATGATTTTTTACAGCAAAGCAGTTGAACATTACATAAAACATAGAAAATTCAGCATTGTATGAGATATCTTTCAATGTTTAAAATCCAATAATAAATTTCATTATTAACAGTTTTAAATTTATAAATTTTAAACAGTTAATGTAAACTATGTAATACAGCATTGTATGAGATATCTTTCAATGTTTAAGATCCAATAATAAATTTCATTATTAACAGTTTTAAATTTATAAATTTTAAACAGTTAATGTAAACTATGTAATACAATTACATTCTAATTTTTAAAATTTAATAACAGTTTAGTTGTTTATAAATCAAAACAATAGAAATACTTTTTAAATAAAAAACACAATGTTATATATGCAATTTACAGTGTAACTTACAAAATGATAAAACTTACTGACAAATTTCCCAATGATTTAATTAAATTTAAAATGAAAGTATTTGCATTTGTACACAATACTATGTAACTACAAAACTTTCAAAGAGTGTCTTTCATTGAAAGACACTCATTGAAAGTTTCAAGGATTTTGTATAAAAAACAATGAAGTACAAGATTATTTTATAAGAAATGCAAATAATTATCATTTAAAAACCAGAACAAGGAAAGCGGACTAAATCCAAACAAGGAAACAAGGAAAGGCGGACTAAATAACAATATAACTAAATATACAACAAAATTACTACTAATTACTACAAAATACTACAAAATATATATTTTGTAGTATTTTGTATAAAAAATACTACAAAATACTACAAAAATACTGCAAAAAAACAAAATAACTAAATAACAAGGAAATAAGGAAAGCGGACTAAATTCAAACAAGGAAACAAGGAAAGCGTCTATCTTTTGCAATGGGATAAAGTTTTACAACAATTTGCCAAATGAATTTAAATCTCTTGACATGAAGGGATTCAAGAATCAAGTCGTGAAGCTTTTAAAAGAAAAATGATGTTTTTAAAAACATAAAGTGTTATGTACTATTTTTACAATGATTTTAAATAGCTATAAACAGGTTGATCATCATCATCATCATCATCATCATCATCATTATCATCATCATCATCATCATCATCATCATCATCATCATCATCATCATCATCATCATCATCATCATCATCATCAACATCATCATCATCATCATCATAATAATAATAACAATTATTATTATTATTGTTATTACTTTTCAGGGCGGACCTGTACACGGCGCACCCTAAACTCGGTGAAGTTCGTTAATTCTCGGAACGAATATTCTCGGTGTTCGCTTTTGGTATTTTACAGAATAGGCGCTAAAATATTACGTTAAATCGCGCCTAATGGTAACGTCAAAAATAAAAAAACAAAAACATTGCGTAAATGAATTTTAATAAAAATTTAACATTTTAGGAAAAAAATTAAATTTTACAAATTATCAACATATACACATTAAATATTAGATTAAATAGATCTTCTAAAGGTATCTTCTCTTCTTAAGATTTCTTTTTGTAGCTTATCTTTTTTTAATCGATCTTCTAAAGGTATCTTCTGGTAGCTTCTCTTCTTTACAAATCTTTTTGTGGCTAATCTTCTTTTAATCGATCTTCTACAGTTATCTTCTTGTAGCTTAACTTCTTTGCATATCTTTTTGTGGCTTATCTTCTTTTAGTTTTTGCAACATATATTTTGTGTTGTACATAAAAAAAAAACAAGTTCAATATAAATATTATGAAACATTTCCAATGTAAATATTATATTATAATACTTATTTTACATTACAGAGGATACCTATCATTAATATTTTAAGAATAAAGAGAAATTTTCCCAAACATTTTTATTATAAAAATCATAATATTCTCTGTATACAGATTCATCTAGCCTAGACCACTTTAAATCAATGAAGTATCAGACTTACACTTGAAGATGTAGAGCTTTCAAAAAATCCTGCTCGAACTTCGTTCTTTTGCAAGTGTTACATCGCTAAATATGTTTTTCCTTAAATAAAGTATTTTAAAGATACAAGGGATAATCTGTTTTGTGTAAATAATAATTACTTTTCAGTAAGTTAATAATAATACTATAAAACTGAAAAAAAATTATTTCAGTAATCATTCTTTTGAATATAGTTAATAAAAAAACCTATACAACAAATAAAACTAGATATATCACCCTAATTATTCTATATCTATATTTTTATACAAGTAAAGACCATCTACGTGCACATTTTTTTTCTTCATAAAAAAACAGTCTAACGCACATATCTTTGAGTGCGTTAGTAAAACGGGGGAAATTTTACAAATCACCAATTGAAAAACAAAAAACCTACCCTAATTAACCATTAGAAAAAAAAATTAAAAATACATAGATATTATTAATAAATAGTTGCAGAACCTATTTTCGTGTTAAGACGGATAAATTATCAAATTTAACTGGTATTTTAACAAAGTTGAATCATTTAAATGTAAATAACTTTTTCAATTCAAAAGTAAAATGTCGTCTTCACTTAAATAAATGTTCTACATTCTGAAAAAAACGATACCAAAACATGTATTTAAACTTGTAGTTTTTATGGGTGGGTTTTCATTTTTCGACACCTACCTAAAATCGTTTCATGCATTTTTTGGACGAAATTTTTCAAAAACAAACTGTGTTTTTTTTTTTTCCGCAATAGAAAGTCACGTGACTAAACTTCCTAGACAAAGCCAATGACTGAAGAGAAGTTCGTAAAGCAATTGATAGTGGTGAAATTGGAAGAGTAGGTTTGAATGCTTCAAAGCTGATTGAAAAAGAATGGTGCGAATCGCTGACACAAACATCAATTTTGAACTTTTTTCGTTTATAGTATATATTATATATACAAAAATATATACTTCACATAAGATTATATTGTTCTATATATAATATTTATATTTCGAAGAACAATCGATAAGTCTCCAAATCTCAATAATTCAAACATTTTCCGACTTAACGAGAGCATTGCTTAATTCGGACATTCGCTAAGTCGGACAATTAATATATACCCCTTACGGAGTCCGAGTTATCGGGGTTCTACTGTATTTTATTATTACAAATGAAGTGTTTTTAAAGTGAAAGTTTTATAGTGAAAATTTGTAAATACATTATATAGTTATTACATTTTATATTTTTTAGTAAGTAAAAATATATAGATAATAATAAAATGAAGATAAAAAAAATACACGAAAAAAAAAACTTTAATTTGAAAAAGATGTTTATTAACCACAAAGATTTTAAAAAACATTTTGAACATTTAAATAAGATAAAAACTTATAATTAAAAATACTCATTCAGGGAGTTGTAAATGTTTGTAAAACTGAAACGAATCGGAATAAAACATTTAATTAAAATAATATGTAAAAATGATAAGTAGTTTACTTTTGAAATAAGATTTAAAAAAATTTAAACACTATGTTTAAATCTTACACAATAAACAAAATCATTATTTCAGAAACGGAAGTAAATTTCTTTTAAGTACAATTTTTCTCAAAAATATCCTCGATATATTAGTTACTTTTCTTAACATATTATTATAATATGTTAAGAAAAGTTTAAAAAAAATACTAAATTTACTCAAAATTTTGTTTGTTTTTATTCACATAAAGATAAAGAAATTCAGATTTAAAAAAAAACAAACAAAAAAACAATTGGTTAAAAAAATTATTTATGCAAAAAGAGATTTACTGAGGAAAACCCCAATTAATAACAATAACTTCTGTCTCGTGGAAGAAAACCTTGCCGTAGAAACTCTGATTGAGTTGTTTAACAACATGTTTGTTTAGTAATTAGGTACGGTTGAGATATTTTTATAAAAGTACGTTTGTAAAGTACGTTTTAAACTAGCTATAGTTTTAAAGGGCGGAACTCTATTTATATCGAAAAATAAACAAACATTGTATTTTTAATATACAATCTTATTGAGAAGACAATTCTTTAAACTTTAGGGGATCCAAAATGTCAGACAAGTCAAGTCTTTTAACAAGTATGGAAATGTCAGTAAAAAAGAGGGACGATGCAACTAAGGATCTATACTTTGAAGATGGTGAAAGAGTTATTGATTATGTTTTAGCTTACGAGATCGTTGAAAACGAAGCTCCAGAAATAGCAAAAAAAAAAGCTGATTGGAGAAAAACATACTTGGAAAATATAATAAACGAAGGACTAGAGATTGAAGAAACTATATCCCCTAAAAATAATGTAAGAATATTTTTTTATTTTAACTGGTTTAGGGTTCTTTTTTTTTTTTGAACATATGTTTTTCTGAATCTTTACCATTGGTTTGAATCAAAATTGGTTTGTAAAATTGTAAAATAATCAATAATTAATGCACTTTTTAACCTATATCTTTTTGTACAAAAAGTTAAATTTTAGGCAAAGTAACACTAAAAAATGATTTAAATAAATAAAAAATAAATGAAAAATAAAACTTGATAAGAAAATTATCAGTATTACTACTAGATAACTAGATTATCAGTATTATACAGCATTAATAAAAAATGGCATTAATATAAATAAAATATTATGCCACTAAAAGATAAAAATTAAAATAAGAAACTAGCTGGTTTATTGAAAAGAATAAAATAAGTTAAATGTATGAGATAAAACGATAAAAAATCTGGAAAAAGAATAATCAAATCAGAAATAGATGTTAATGATACAGTAACTAACAATAACAAATTGTAATAAATTATAGCTCATGAAATGTCATTTCTAGTAAAAATAGTAAAAAAATGCACCAGTAAAATACAAAGTAATAGACAAACAGCTGTTAAAAACCTAATTTAAAAAGGAGGGTTAAAATAATGCTGGATAATTTATCGGAGCATTCATTGTCAAATATGTAGCAAAGTTAGATCATCCAATTTTTTCGATTTGCTAGTTTTGTCATATGTTAAAGGTTTTTTAATTTTTTTTGAAACTTGAAAGTTTGAGTATCAAACTTCTTACACTTCTTAGGATTGAATTTTTCTAGTTTATGTTGATAGATTTTTATCATTAAGTAACAATATTTAATAAACAGATTCATGTATCAAGCTCAAGTTTTTTACATGGTGATTCATTTAAATTTTTCTTGGCCCATTCAAAACCTAAAATGTTATCAAACATCATTTTTAAATGCCTGTCATGTACTATAATTACTGCTTTAAAATTTTTTTTAACTGCAAAGTTCGACAATAGTTATAGAGAAATAGCAGTTAGGAAACAGCAACATTAGATAGAGTTAGATAGAGAATTACACTATTAATCAAAAAATCTTTTAAATCCTGAGTTCTTTTATCACATCCCTGATAATATTGTAGATAATATAGTAATTTGTAATATGCCAAGTGCATCTTTTTTTTTAATATACTTTTGAATTGTCTGCCAACCTTCTTTCCATTATACATCCCATTAATGAATATTAATTCAATTTTATTTGAGTTTTTTTATAATTGTAAACAAAAGGTGGCAGTTTGGCTCATTCACCATAGAAAAGAATGTATTTAAAATATGTGTAAAAACAGATTGCTTGCATAAAAAGCTGCTAGGCAAGCAACTTGCTTGGCTTTCTATATTGGTTTTACTCAAGCTATTCTCAGTTAGCGCACTTGTTTGTTCCCAAGATGGCTTGTGTATGTATGTATACATTTATTAGGTTAGTATTACTGAACACCGACTTTAATTTTTAGGATAGCCATATAAAGTTTGATTTAAAAAATATACAAATATATTTTTATGTATTTATGTATGTATGTATGTATGTATGTATGTATGTATGTATGTATGTATGTATGTATGTATGTATGTATGTATGTATGTATGTATGTATGTATGTATGTATGTATGTATGTATGTATGTATGTATGTATTTATGTATGTATGTATGTATGTATTTATGTATGTATGTATGTATGTATGTATGTATGTATGTATGTATGTATGTATGTATGTATGTATGTATGTATGTATGTATGTATGTATGTATAAATGCATGCATGCATGCATGCATGTATGTATGTATGTATGAATGTATGTATGTATGTATGTATGTAAGTATGGATGGATGCATGCATGCATGCATGTATGTATGTATGTATGTATGTATGTATATATGTATGTATAAATATATATTTAAATTTTATAAATAGAATAAAGAAGAATATGGTACATTTGGAGAAACCAAAAAGGTAATGTTCAATTTGTTTAGAATTAAATTAAGTATTAACTTTTGTTATTGCAAAAAAGTACTAGGTTGTGTGGCCGTGTGACTATCTGTTAGCCTGCTGCCACAAAGGAGTGTGGTTATATCCACTGAGGGTTTGGGATGAGGCAGCAATCTTTTCTTCCTTTGTTCTTTGTTGTTTTTCTTCTTTTTTTTGAAAAAGCTGTATGCTATAAAGGTTAGCAAAAATAGTAAACATATGCTGATCTATATACACTATAGTGTGTGTATATATATATATATATATATATATATATATATATATATATATATATATATATATATATATATATATATATATATATATATTATATTTATTCTTATATTTTGCTAATTTTTTGTGATCAATGTTATCAAGTATAATATCTATAAATTTTTTAAATAAAAAAACAAAATATTAAAAAGGTAACATTAAAAAATGTACAATAAGATTAAAAATTTTTTTTAAAATGCTGATATCATTTAACTTTAGTAAAGACCCAAGGTTTTCTTTGTCTAGGGATTTTGTGGTCATTCTAATTAAGAGCCCTCTTGTCACTTCCTAAATCTTAGGGAACTCTAGCTCTGTTTATTTTAAGTGGCTGCTCAATTATATTTTAAGTTTGATATTCTATATTGAAACAACTATGGTAAACGTTAACTTTGTGATATATTGTATATATTTTATATGAGAAGTTGGTAGTAAAAGAATTGTCAATACTGTAAGATGTCTTTTTTTGCTAAAAATTGTACCCCTAGATTCAGTAAGGCATAGAGGCATTTATTCCTTTTCAGTTTAAAGTCAAGCCTCACTCTACCCTATAGTTTACTTACAGATACAGTAAAAGATGCAACTTATTGAATAGGAAGCCAAGCAAGAATGAGTTTTGGTTTATTGTAATAGAGATGATAGGTTGTTTGAGCATTGACCATGGTTAGAAAAACAGCATAAAAGAGGAAGCCTGCTGCTGCTGATGATGATGATAATGATGATGGCGATGATGATTATGATGATGACGATGATGATGATGATGATGATCATTATGATGATGATCATGATGATGATTATGATAATGATAATCAAGTTGATCATAAAGATGTTTATAAATACATATATATACAAAATCAAACATAAATTTAAAAAAAAAAAAAGTACTTTAAAATGTATAAATGTTTATGTCATCCCCAGTCACAAACCCTGCCCTGACCCTGGTCCCGGTTATATTTTATCAAACCCAGCCCCAGCCCTGGTCAAATATTAACCCCGGTTGTTTACTATTCTACAGCTTATGATTCAGGCATAATTCCTGTCACAGTCTTATAAAAGCATTTTTCAGAACTCCCATCAATACTCTCTAAATTATTTAACAAGTGCTTAACTGAATCTTGTTTTCCTGTGTGCTGGAAATTGGCATCTGTGGTTCCAATTTAAAAATCTAATCTTTCTGACTGACCTCTTATGGAAACTATACATATATTCAAAAGTTAGCGTTTAATGTTGTCATTTTTTTACTCCTATTTCACATGTATGTTATATATATTCAAAAAAATTTCAATTTTTTGGATTTTATGTAGTAAAACTGTTATTTATATGTTTATGATTAACTATTTTTAACATGCGCCAGATTAAGCATGGATTTACAATAGTATTTTAAGACCATATTATTATGTTAATGTTATATTTAGGGCTTTATAAGCATTTAAAAAGTATCATGGCACTTAGAAAGTGTCTACTCTGTTTATGAGATAGCCTGCCCCTTTAAAAAAAATAATGTAAATAATGAGTGCTTTTATATCTAGTTTGTTTCAACATTATATCTAGTCAGTTTATTCATCAACACTATATCTAGTCAGGATATTCATTTTGTTGTCATGTTGGAATTTTATTACACAGTATAGCTAATGAGTGGTAGAGATGTCATATGTATATATATATATATATATATATATATATATATATATATATATATATATATATATATATATATATATATATATATATATATATATATATATATATATATATATATATATGACCTGTCAAATTTTTGAGGGCCTTGAACTACCCCTCAAAATATTTTTTGTTCAAAAAAATTTTTAACCTAGTATTTTTGTATTAAATAGAACACATTTAGGGGGTGAGAGCAGGTTTTTCTCAAAAAAGTTGTTTTAAAAATCACCCTAATATATATATATATATATATATATATATATATATATATATATATATATATATATATATATATATATATATATATATATATATATATACAAATTGTATTGCATACTATTGTAAGCAATCTGACGTCATGCTGAAATAGCCTGCTGCTGGGGGCTTCAGTACATACATCAACTGACAAATAGCCTGACTCGCAGTGGAGTGCTGCTACATCGACTGAGGGTTTGGGATGGGGAAGCAATAGTTGCATTCATTATTTTTCTTCTTTTTCGAAAAAAACGGTTTATCTTAAGGTAAGCAGAAAAAGTGAGCAAATGCTTATCAAAACACGCTTTAGTAAGTATATATATATATATACATTTTTGACAAATTTATACCAAGTTTCAACTGTTGGAATCAATAGTAGCTGTCATATATATATATATATATATATATATATATATATATATATATATATATATATATATATATAACAGTTGGGCTGAAAAGTTCGTATCGTTTAATAGAAAAACACATTTTTTTTTCAAAATTCGGTTTTATTATTCAACATAGTTTCCATCAGAGGCGATACAGCGATTATAGCGATCTTCCAACTTTTCGATACCATTTTTGTAGTACAATTTGTCCTTTGCTTCGAAATAGGCTTCAGTTTCAGCGATCACCTCTTCATTGTACTTAAATTTTTTACCAGCGAGCATTCTCTTGAGATCTGAGAACAAGAAAAAGTCACTGGGGGCTAAATCTGGAGAATACGGTGGATGAGGAAGCAATTCGAAGCCCAATTCGTTCAATTTAAGCATCGTATTCATTGACTTGTGACATGGTGCGTTGTCTTGATGAAACAGAACTTTTTTCTTCAATAACGCTTCAATAACGCAATGTAATAGTCACTATTGATGGTTTTTCCCTTCTCAAGGTAATCGATGAAAATTATACCATGCGTATCCCAAAAAACAGAGGCCATAACCTTCCCAGCCAATTGTTGAGTCTTTCCACGCTTTGGAGTCGGTTCATCGCGTGCAGTCCACTCAGCTGACTGTCGATTGGACTCCGGAGTGTGGTGATGGAGCTATGTTTCATCCATTGTTATGTATCGACAAAAAAAATCGGTTCTATTTCGATGTAACAGCTCCAAACACTGCTCAGAATCATCAATTCGTTGTTGCTTTTGATCGATTGTGAGTTCACGCGGCACCCATTTTCACAGAGCTTTCTCATATCTAAATATTCATGAATAATATGTCCAACGCGTTCCTTTGATATCTTTAAGGTGTCAGCTATCTCCAACAACTTCACTTTACGATCATTCAAAATTATTTTGTGGATTTTTTTCACATTTTCATCGGTAACAGCCTTCTTTAGGCGTCCACTGCGTTCATCGTCTTCGGTGCTCATATGACCAGTACGGAATTTTGCAAACCACTTACGAATTGTTGCTTCGCCTGGTGCAGAGTCTGGATAACACTCATCAAGCCATTTTTTGGTATCAGCAGCACTTTTTTTCATTAAAAAGTAATGTTTCATCAACACACGAAATTCTTTTTTTTCCATTTTTTTCACAATAACAAAAGTAGCGTCACTACTAGAGCAATATATCACAAACTAATAATCTGACAGCTGTCAAATTTTTACACGTATCTTTTCAAGGTTGGTACTAACTAAAAATGGTATGAATTTAATTCTAGTGGCGCCATTTCTTAGAAACGATACGAACTTTTCAGCTCAACTGTTATATATATATATATATATATATATATATATATATATATATATATATATATATATATAAATATATATATATATATATATATATATATATATATATATATATATATATATATATATATATATATATATATATATATATATATATATATATATATATATATATATATATATATATATATATGTATATATATATATATATATATATATATATATATATATGTATATATATATATATATATATATATATATATATATATATATATATATATATATATATATATATATATATATATATATATATATATATATATATATATATATATAGTCTTGCATGTCTCTTGCGTAGCATCAAAAAATATTTCCCATAAACTGTAGTTTTAAAGAGCGCGTTAATAAACCAGACCAGAAAAAGTTTTAAAAATTAAATTTTTTTTTTTAATTGATAGACTGCCTGGCCAAACCAAACCCTCAGTCGATGTAGCAGCACTCTCTTGCGAGTCAGGCTATTTGTCAGTCGTTGTAGCAGCACTCCCTTGCGAGTCAGGCTATTTGTCAGTCGATGTAGCAGCATTCCCTTGCGAGTCAGGCTATTTGTCAGTCGATGTAGCAGCACTCCGTTGCGAGTCAGGCTATTTGTCAGTTGATGTAGCAGCACTCTGTTGCGAGTCAGGCTATTTGTCAGTCGATGTAGCAGCACTCTGTTGCGAGTCAGGCTATAAGATAGTCGATGTAGCAACATTAACGCATGTTTAAAAAATGTTTTTTATTAAATCAATAACAAAAACACCACTAATTAAAAAAAAACTTTCTAGTCGTTATAATTGCGGTTTTTTAAAAATTTTTTAAAAAACAATTAAATTTAATGTACTTCCGCATAAATTAATTGCTTTGACATTTCGATGACAATCAAAAACAGCTTAAGAGACGAGGTAATTAAAATTGTAGTCGTAAGAGACTTTTTTTACATTAAAATGCTCTTAAAGCGACACTATATGAGTATATATATATATATATATATATATATATATATATATATATATATATATATATATATATATATATATATATATATATATATA